CCCCTGGAGTCAGCAAGCCGTGGGGGGCTGTGCTAGCTCCCCGGGCCCCATCTCAGGGGGTGCACGGCAGATCACAGAGATGCGTCGGCCCCGGGGAATCCGGCGTTCACCGAAAAAAAGAGTCTTCATCCCGGAGGATCTCGTGGGAGAAGTCATACCGGGCGGAGCCCCTGCAGGAGAAGAGGGAAATTGTGATTTGGGGGTGGGGGTTCCTGGGCCCCAGGCAAGCTCGTGTGGCCTTGCTCATTTTGGAATGGCTCATGGCACCTGATACTGGGCCCAATGTGGACACCAGGCAGGTGGCCTGTTGGGGTGCTGAGGGTGGGTAGTGTCTTCGGGGTTTGCTGTACCTTAGGATGTAGAGGGAACCGGGCTCCAGCAAGAGTTCCAACCACTCTGCGGGGTCCTGGGTATGCACCAGCCTCATGACACTTGGGGACAGCAGGGACAGGCCAGCGATGGTGGCTCCACAGAACTTGACGCTGTCGACGTGCGGCTTGATGTAGCCCCTCGGCTCCAGGTCCAGCACGTGCACCCCGGGCAGCAGGGCCTGGCCTGGGCCGAAGGCGGCCTCCTGCACCCGCCGCAGGATGGTCCTGCTCGCCTCCGACCAGCGCGTCTTCTCCGTCTCCCGGAAGCCATGGATGGCCTGCACGGAGAGGGTAAGTCACGCCTGAAGGGTCCGAGGGAAACTGAGGCACGGGGGAGGGGGGAGTGGGCAGTAGAGGGGCTGGCTCTCCATGGCCCAGACACCCGGGGTGGGGGTCCTGTATGATCCAACTAAGCCCCTTCCCAATCTCAGGCCTCTCCTACCCCACCTCCACCGTCACCCCAAATCGATCACAAGACCCAGCGTCTCAGTCCGTTGCAAACTGATCTCACCGAAGTCCACGTTGACCCCAGCTCCACTGACCATCCCTTAACTCACTCCTCCTCCCAGATCCTGCCCCTAGTCTAGTCCGGGATGCGGCCCCAACCCCAACATCAGGTCACGCCACGACCCCGCCGGGCCGTGGCTGCCCATCCGCCCACCCCAGGTCCTAGACATGCAGGTGGCCCAATACCTGCTCCTGCTCTGACCCTCACTCGTGGCCCCGCCCCCGCAAGCCCCGCCCCACAAGCCACGCCGTTGCGTCAGCTGCCCCGGCCCCGCCCCTCACCGCGTCCCAGTGGTCGTATTCGTAGCGGCGGCGGCGCAGGTCCGGCTCCAGTTCGCGGCTTAGCGTGTCCTCCTCGGCCGCACTCAGGAAGCCAGGCCGCACCACGGCCGCATCCCGCAGGCGGCTCAGCACGGCCGGGCTCGAGCCCCGCACCCAGCTCTGCGCGGGCAATGTCCGCAGGGCCAGCGACCCGCTGCCGGCCATGGCCTTAGCCCCAGCCGGTGGTGGTGGTGGCAGCGCAGGGCCCGCGGAACGCCCTCGCCCCAGTTCATTGGCTGTGACTGTGCCAGTTCCCCCGTCTATTGGTCTTTACTCAGAGCCCCGCCTCTGGCTCAGCCTTATTGGTTGTCCCTTGGCCCACCCTCTAAAGCTATTGGCTCTCAGAACCCACCTTCTTCCCAGGGCTATTGTACTCTACATAGTGTTAAAGGCGCTGTCTTCGCTGGAGGTTCATTCTTGCAGGTCCAGCCTTAAAACAGGCAGCCGCCTTAAGTCGTTGGCTCTTGCAGAGCATTCCGCCTCTTCTGATACCCTTGCATTTGACTTGAAGTCAACATTGAAAAATCCGACATTGCGGTGGCGGGATCCAGACCCGATCAGAGGTCATAAGAGGATTGGGGTCAAAACCAAGGTTACAGAGGCTAAGGCTAAAGATACAGCCATGGGTCAAGGGTGCAGAGGTCAGGGAACTGAGGTCAAGTTTAATAAGAGATGGGGTCTAGGCTGCAGAATTAGGGTTTCAGTGAAAGCTGGCTCATCAGTTTCCCTTTTAGGGAGTTTCTCCACTAACTAGTATTCAGACAAACGCGAGCACACACACACACACACACACACACACGTCTCCCACCTTGAAACACGTTCTTGGTGATAATGTTAGGTGCCCACAGGTTGGTTCCAACTTAGAGATAACCCGCGGAAGCACTGCGTGCTCCTGCACCACCGTCTCAACTGATTGTTGCTGGGTGCTGTCGATTACAACCCACAGTGACCCTATGAACAGATCTGAACCCTGTCCTGTCCTGAGCTTCAACCTCTGACACACTCAAGCCTGTTGCTACAGTCACTGTGTCAATCCACCTGATAAAAGTCTTCTAATCTTTCACCTACCCTCTACCTTTCCAAGCATGATGTCCAAGGAATAGCCGTTCCTAGCAACATGTCCAAAGTTCGTGTCCTTGAATCCATCGCTGTTGCCACCCTGTCAACCACCTCCTGGAGGGTGTTTCTCACCTTCCCTGACCCTCCACCTTTCCAAGCTGATGTCTTAGCCCAACAGCTGGCTTCTCCCAACAACATGCTCTAAGTATGTGCGGTGATGTTTCATCATCCGTGCCTTTAAGGAACATTCTGGTTGTGCTTCTTCTAAGACAGATTTGCTTGTTCTCTTGGTAATTCATTGGAATAGTATTAATTCTTGGCCAATTCAAAGGCACTGAGTCTTCTCTTTTCCACATTCTCTGACCAGCCTGAACTTGCACAGGCTGCTAGAAAGATAATACAGGGGATATAGGGCTGCAAAACACTATGATCCTCACCAAGACGGATGGCACTGTGGTCGCAACAATGGCCCCGAACACAGCAGCGACTGGGAGGCCGGCACGGAGCCAGACAGCGTTCATCCTGCTGTACACAGGACTGTTGTGAGTCGGCATCTGACAACTTGAAGGCATCTGACAACTAGAGGAAAAGTTAGTGGTTTGAATCCCTCTAGAGGCACCTAGCAGGAGTGGCATCCACTTCCTAAACAACATGCCTCTGGAAACTATGAACTATGAGAAACAACGATAGTTATAGAAAGGTCTTTTGCTCATAGGGTCGCTATGAGTCATGCTTGAGGCACCTCAGAAGCCAAGCCTGGAAACCTGCTTCTGGAAAGGCACAGCCCCCGAAAGCTTGAGGAGCAGTTCTGCTCTGGGTCTACTCTACACGTGGGGTCGCCATGAAGAAAGCCTCTCAGCACACTGCCTGCCGGAAGTCCCACTGTGTTGTGATGCTGGAAACTGTGCCTGGGACTCCACTTCAGAGACCATCAGGGTCAGCATCGTTTGAATGGCATTTTCAGAGTAAGACAGACCAGGAAGAAAGGCCTGGAGATCTGCTTCTGACCATCAGCCAGTGAAAACCCTGTGGCTCACAATGTGGTCCACACAAATCGTGGGGATGGTGCAGGGCTGGGCAGAGACTTGTTCCACGGTGTGGGGGGCAGCTCCATGACAGCTGACAATGAGGCTGTCCGCTGGAATGAAGGACGTGGCTGGGGTCCAGGGCCGTGTGAGGCCCGTGCTGCGGCTCCTCAGTGGGACAGTGAGGGAAGACACACACCGGGGCACAAAGACCGTAAGATTTAATTTAAAATCACAGTGTCTCAGCCAGGCTACCCCGTAATCCCGGGGGCACCCCCAAATCCACAGTTCCTGAAGGGCCCCCAGGCCCCTCTGCTGTCCTCCGGCGGGGAGGCCGGGTCTCAGGAGCTTGCTGGGGTTGGCTCAGTGGCCGCCACCGTGGGCTCCTTCTGCACCAGCTCCGGCTCGTCCTCTCCATCCTGGGGCGGGTGGACCAGGACCTTGTCCAAGATGCCGAACTCCTGGGCCTCCATGGGGCTCATGTAGCGATCTCTCTCCATGGCCGATTCTGCAGGGGAAGCAGCACACGTGGGGTTAAGAAAAGGGACCCCAGGGAGCTCCAGTGGCCTAGTGGCAAGACACTGCACTGCAATCCCAGGGTAGGTGGTTCAAATCCACCAGATGCTCTGCTGGAGAAGGAGGGGGCAATCTCTTCCTGTACCAGTCAGATCTGATCTGACGGTACACATAAAAAAGAATACAATAAAAATTTAAAAAAAAAAAAAAACCAAAAAAAAAAAAGGGACCCCGGAGGCAGGCCGGCGTCCCCCGCCCCGTGTGACCTTAGCCTCCTCTCTGTGCCTCACTTTCCGTACTGGTAAAACATCCATTTCAATGATGTCTTATTTTTTTGTTTCCACGGAATCGACTCCAGCTCCTAGCGACCCTGTATTTCAGAGAGGATGCACCCTCACACTCTCATCATCATGAGCCTGTTGACTTTCTTAATTTAAGCTGTTAAACTAAGTCAGTGCTGGGAGCTCTGGTGGCCTAGTGGCAAGAAGCTGCACTGCAATCCCAGAGGCACATGGTTCAAATCCACCAGATGCTCTGCTGGAGAAGGAGGAACAACTTCCTGTACCAGTCGGATCAGATTTAACAGTACACACACACACACACACACACACACACACACACACACTAATAAAATAAGAAAAAAATTTTAAAACCAACCAAACAAAAAACAACTAAGTCAGTGCTGTCCAGTTGGAAGCAGTCCGTAACTGACCCTCTGGTGGGCTTTTGGAGGCTATAAACTGCACAGAAATTTGCCTCTCTCCCAAGGAACAGCTGGTGGATTTGAACTGCCTACCACTGGGTTGCCAGGAGAATGAATTACCCACTAGGCCACCAGAGCTCTCAATTTAAGCTGTTAACGTGAATCCCTGGATGGCACAGATGGTTAAGCTACCAGCCAAAAAGGTTGGCGGTGTGAAGCCATCCCGGGGGGCCCACAAGGCAGGGGGTCATCTGGGACCCGCTTCTGAAGGGTCACAGCTTTGGAAGCCCTCTGGGGCTTTTGGGCCTTCCTGTTCCAGCCAGGTCTTCCGGCACCAGCACCCCTGTGTTTGGTTGCACTTCACTTTATTATGGCTCTGCAGATAAGGCATTTTAAAAAAAAAACAACAAAAGAAAAACCAGCCTAGTGGCAAGAAGCTGCACTGCAATCCCAGAGGCACACGGTTCGAATCCACCAGATGCTCTGCTGGAGAAGGAGGAGTTATCTCCTCCTGTACCAGTTGGATCAGATTTGACAGTACACACACACACACACACACACACACAATAATAATAATAAATAATAAAAAGAAAAAAAGACTAGCATTAAGATAAATGTTCATAAAAAAAGTCATTAAAAAAAACAACAACAGAAATATGTTTATGGCATTGAAGTCTTTGGAGGAGAGGACATTTTCTATTTTAGGGCATTATGTTTATCGTAAGAGTACGGAATGAGGGCTGCAGAGTGGATTATATTTGGGGTTGGGTGATGTGGGGGGGACTGCAAACCAATGAGGGAGTTTTTCTTTTGCTTTTGAAGGAGAGGAGCAAACGGGGGGGGGGGGGGGGTGGGGGGGGGTGGGGTGGGGAGAAGGGTGCAACAATGAATGAATGGGATTTCAAAATCTCTGTAGATGTTCATCGAAATGAAAAAGAAATAAACGAAAAACAAACAAACAACAACAACAAAAACCCACCACCAAACAAAAAAACCAAATGACAGGTTTGTGACAGCCCTGAGTTAACGGTCTACTGGCGACATCTTCCAGGTTGTGCTCACGCCCCTTCTCTGTGCCACATCCTGGTCAAGCTCTAACTTCTCATCAGCACGTGTACGCGACTCTCAAACCAAACCCTCCTGCTGTCACATCGACCCTCCGTCAGGGATGCAAGCCTTCACGGCAGACTACTTATCTCTCTCTGTGAGTTCGAACCACCAACCTTTCAGCTGGCAGTCTGACAAAACCTCTACCACCACTACTCAAGTTAAAACAGACGCACAGCTGACCCTCTGGGGGTTTTCAGAGGCTATAAATCACATGATCGGAGACTGGCCCTCTTTCGCCTGTGGACAACACCACCAGAGCTACATGACCTGGGCTCCCTCAACAGACTACAGAATCGTTGTTAGGGGCCGCCTAGTCGAGTACCGCTCACGGTGATCCTATGAACCACACACTGAACCCTGTCCTATCCGGAGCCGTCCTCAGCCCAGGCATAACTGCTATAAACACTGAGAGACCACGAATGTCCTGCACGCCTCGCGCCTTCGCTGGGCACTCACCAATCACCTGCAGGCTCTGCTTGGTGTGTTTGGCGTAGATGCTGTACAGCTGTTTCTTTAGCTTCATGATCTCTTCGGCCTGGATGGCGATGTCTGTGGCTTGGCCCTGGGGCAGGAAATGGAGGAGGCGGTGCCAGGCCTGCTACGACCCTGGAGCAGCCCTCCTTGGGCTCTAGTTTTGGGAGGGTCAGCTCATAGTAAGCCCCTCAACATCCCTCTGCCTCTTGGCCCCCACTGGGAAGGCTTGATCAACACCTTTGACTTCTGCCCCCAGCCCTCCATCACCACCTCCACGATGACGGGGTCTGGCACTCACCCGGGCGCCCCCAGAAGGCTGGTGGATCATGATGCGGGAGTTGGGGAGCGAGTGGCGCATGCCTGGGGAGCCGGCAGCCAGGAGCAGGGAGCCCATGCTGGCGGCCTGGCCCACGCACCATGTGCAGATGGGGTTCAAAATGTACTGCATGGTGTCGTAGATGGCCAGTCCCGAGGTCACCACGCCACCTGTGGGAGGGGGTGCCGGTGAGGGCAGGGGCCGCTGTGGAAAAAAGTCCTGTAGTTCATCCCGCCTTTGCACACACTCCATGTGTGCCGGAGCAGAACTGTTGTCCTAGGGTCTTTGGAAGTAATAACATCAGGCCTTTCTTCCACAGTGCCCCTGGGTGGGTCTGAACTGTCAACCTCTGGGTTTCACTAGCTGAATGCAGACCATTTGGGACACCCAGGGACCTGGAACCCGATGCCGCTGAGTGCTGCCAAGTTGATCCAGACTCTCAGGGAGGAGCCCAAGCGACGGCAGACCTGTGTCCCAGGGTCTCCAGGTTGTAAGCATTACAGAGGGGGCTCTGACTGCTGCCAAAAAGGCACAGGGTTTGAATCCACCAGCTGCTTGATGGGAGAGATGGGTAATTTCCTGCCTCTGAAAACCCGCTGGAGGGTCAGCTATGAGTAGGCTCCGACTCAGTGGTACCAAACAACAGACAAGCATTACTGGAGAGCCCCAGGCCTTTCTTTGGTGGCATCACAGGGTGAGTTTGAACCTATAACCTTTAAGCAATGAAACAGTCCCCTGCTCCAGCGTGCCAGGCAAGTAGACTTTCAGTTGCGCTACAAACTGGACAGTGTGATGGTTTAAGAGTACAGGCTCTGGCCATGGACCCAGGCAGAGCAATTTATCAACGTGCATGGCCCTGGGTCCCTCAATGATGCAAACCGTTAACGTGCTTGGCTGATAACAGCAAGGTCAGAGATTCAAGTTCACCTAAAAATGCCTCAGAAGAACGGCCTGGCAATCTACTTTCAAATAACCAGCCCCTGAAAATTCCCTTGGACACAGTTCTATTCTGATGCACCTGGGGACACAGCAAGTCAGTCAACTTGACAGCAACTGGTGTGTTCCTTTTTTCATTTACCTTTTTGGGTAATTAGGGAGTAGGGGGAATAAAGCAATTTTGTAATACTGACAACTATTTCAAATTTGTTCAGATGAAGAAGGAACTAGGAATGAGATTAAAGTACTCATATGCTACCAGGGGAATTCAGCTGCCAATTTGTGATCTTGGACTTACATCTTTGGGATTCTGAAGAATGCCCTGTATCCTTCCCCAGGAAAAGAACAGCTTGCCACCACTTTCAAAAGCTCACGGAAAGTCAGCGACTTCCCTCCCTAACTTCTTGACCAGGGATCTCGGTTTCCTGAGCCCCTCCACACAGACAGAAGTGGGGATGCCCCCGCATGCCAGGTGCCCTCCACATGAGGTGGGCAGGCCCGCTCACCAGGGCTGTTGATGTACATATGGATGGGCTTCTTGTTGCTCTCGGACTGAAGGAACAGCAGCTGGGCGATCACCAGGCTGGCCAGGCTGTCATCGATCTGTACGTGGGGAGGGGGCAGTGTTACTCCCAGATCAGGACAGCAAAGAGGACAAGGAAGGCGACTTGAGGGTGCTTGGTCAAGGGACTAGAGACCTTGGAAGCGGGGCCAGAAGAATTCAGGCCTCAAGAGGAGGATGAGGATTTGTGGGGACCTCGGGGGTCTGGGGTACAGGAAGGCAGGGGTAGAAAAGGCTGAGGTTCTAGAATGTGGCGGGGAGAGGGCCTGGGGTCCAGAAGGGTTACAGTTTCAGAGCATGGGGAAGGGGGTACTAGGAATCAAAGGGGAGCTCAGAAGGTCTATGGTCCGGGGCTGGGGGTCGCCCAGGGCATGAAGTTTATGAGGGCTGAGGCTAGACTAGGTCCTGGGGAGAAGAGTTTCGGGGGACAGACCAGGAGTCAGTGGAGCCCGAGAGGAGAGGACACATGGGGCGGGACAGACTGGGGGGACCCGGCGCGGGGCGCTCACCGGGCCCATGACGCACACGATACGTTCCCGCAGCAACCGCGAGTAGATGTCATAGGCGCGCTCGCCACGACCCTGGGGCAGGAAGATGCAGATGGAGGTAAAGAGGGGGCAGCTGTCCCCTCATTTAGCCCGGAGCCCCGAACCTTGTCCCCGCCCGGCCACCGTACCGTCTGCTCCACCACGATGGGAATGAGCGGGACAGCGCGGGACGCCGTCGCGTGCAGACTCTGCCGCAGGGCTAGAGAGGGCTCGGGGGTCCGCTGAGGCAGGAGGCGTGCGGCGAGGCCAGGCCTCAGCACGGGGCACCTGCCTGCAGCCACCCGGGCCCCCCCGAACAACACTCTGGGCCACATCCCGCCGCACGCGCCTCCCGGCTTCCGTCCGACGGCGAAACTACAACTCCCGGCGTGCCTCGCAAATCACGCGCATGCTCACTAGGCCGCCCACGTCTGGGAAGCTGGGATGGCCCGGCTGGGGGGCGGAGCTAGAGACTTCCGGAGGCGGGGCTAGAGGTGGCAATGGGGTGCCCTAGATGAGCACTTTCAGGGAGTTGACAGTTCGAGTCCCCATCTCAACAAATTCGTCCATCATCACTTTATTTTAAAAGTAATAGTCACTGTATCCACACTTGAGTTTGAAAGAGATCCTAGCCTTGAAGCACTTTCAGCCCAGTGGGGCCCAAAGCAAAGACCCAAGACCAACCCCAAAGCAAAAACTAACCACAGCAAAACCAGACCTACTGCTGTCGAATGTCGAAAGGGACTTGAAGATATGCTCTCGAGTCCCAAAGTGTCTGGAATGGACATGAATAGAAACATTCATGTCGACCCTCCATCGGGTTTCCCAGACTGGAGGACCTGGCCTGGAGCAGTTGACACTTTAAATCTTCAGGGGAACAGCCCCATAAGTTTTGGACAGTGTTGTGAACGCTGCTTGGAGATATGTCTGGACGATTCTGAGAGGTGTGGGTTTGCGCTGGGGGGTCTAGTAGGTAGGGAACCGTGCTGTCAACCGAGAGGTGGCACATCTGTAGAAGTTCTGCAGAGAAAGATGGGCGATCTCCTCCCATGCAGTTTACAGCCTCTGAAAAGCAGCAGGAAAGGTCAGCTATGAGTCGATTCAGACTCAGTGGCAAAGCGGGTAGAGAGAGTTTGAAGCATTCAGAGTAGCTTTTTCCAGGAGAAAGAGACTGGACAAAGGGGTGGGGATTGGAACGGCCCAGGTGGTGTCTGGGATCCAGCTATTCTTCCAGAATTTTCCAAGGTGGGTCACTTTCTTCTAATGCCGCTTCTCTCGTCCTCAGCTTCCACTGATGCCCAACATACTCTAAGTAGGTGCTTAACAAACCTGTTGGACCCAAGAGAGAAGAGGTGTTGAAGAGGCTTTGAGAAAGTTAAGAGTGTTGAGCAGAGTGCCTAAAAGAAGTCAGGGAAAGAGAGATAGAGTTTAGAGTTATATCTTTTATTCAAGGGGAGCTCCCGGGTGAAATTCTCCATTCTGAAGAGACAGAGCAGTGAGTTTGCAACCTTGGGGAACTGGGGAGGATTTTTATAGCAGAGTCTTCAGAGAAGAGAGGGAGTTACATTCCACTTTTTACTTTATGGTCCACAGGTTAGTTCAGCTAGGCAGGCAAGGCCATTTGCTCTTCTTATCAGCATTTGAATTCCTCATTCTCCCTCCTGGCCTCCTCGCCCAGGCCTAACAAAGAGCTTTCTTAATTTGCTATGTGACTTTCAGTGCTTTGCTTAATTTCTCTGAGCCTGACTTTCACCACGCCTCGTGCCGAGGCTCACAGAGACCTGGTATGACCCTAAGAGCCATCCACTCATGGGCAGTGGGTTTGGTTTGGGGTAGGCTTCAGAGTCGGCACAGCAAAGCAACCCAAACTCACATCTCAGCCTCATGAACTTCATAATTGTGTGCCACTGAGCCTCAGTTTCCCCACCTGTCAAATGGCTGTGCTCACTTGCCATGCATTTGAGAGCTGGACAATGAATGAGGATCACAAAAGAAGAATTAGTGGCTTTGAGTTGTGGTGTTGGAGTGGACTCTTGGAGAAAGTGCAGCCAGAGTGCTCCTCCGAGGCAAGGATGGTGAAGCTTCGTTCACATATTTTTTGGGCACATGCTAGGAGAGACTAACCTCTGGACAAGGCGGAGGGTCGGTGAAAGGGAATAACACCTTTAAGGAGACAGACACAGTGACGGAAGTAATGGGCTCTTCAAGAGAAGATGAAGTTGGCACAGGATAGGACGGGATTCAGATCTGTTCACAGGGTCATTATGAGTCATACTAAACTCAATGCGAGCAAACAACAACAACAACGACAAATGGTTGTGCTTGTTAATTGCTGTGGATTCTGCCTCCTGGTGCCCCCACACAAGTTGGCGTAGAATCACTATCCATAGTGTTCTCAGGGGTGTGTCCTTTTCCCCAACAGATTGCCAGGCCCATTCTCCAAGATATCTCTGGGTGGGTTCAAACTGCTAACCTTTTGACTGGGAACTGAATGCCTAATACTTTGTGCCACCCAAGGACTTAAAAGAGGGTATTAACTTTCTCTGTCCTAGGTGGCTTTGTTTTTCACATCAAGTAAACAGAAATCACCACTGGGCCAAAGGAAAACATCATAATACTTGGGAAAAGATTGAAGTAAAAGATTTTGTTGTACTTGAATCTACAATCAACACCCATGGTAACAGTCACTAGGAAATCAAAAGATGTGTTGTAGTAGGGAAATCTGCTCCCAAATCTCTCCAAATTGCAAATGAGCAAGGATGTCAGTTTAAATACTAAGGTGTGCCCGATCCAAGCCTTGGCTTTTTCAGTTGCTTTCTGTGTGTATGAAAGTTGGACAATGAGCAAAGAAGACTGAAAAAGAACCGATGCCTTTGAATTGTGGTGTTGGAGGAGAGTGCTGATGCCAAAATCAAACAAGTCTGTCTTGGAGCAAATGCAACTCGGGTGTCCCTTAGAGGCAAAGATAATGAAGCTCTATCTCACATACTTTGGGCGTGTTGTCAGGAGTGGAAGTTTTTGGAAATTGACAGCATGCTGGGAAAGGTGGACGATCAAAGGAAGAAGACCCTCGACAAGAAGGATTGGCACGGTGACTGTAATGACAGGCTTGAGCTTGGTGAGGAGAGTGCAGGATAGAGCGAGGTCCAGATCTCCTGCTCATGGGGTTGTTGTGAAGGATAGTAGACTTGAGGGCACCACCACCAATGCCCTGGGGTGCCTGTGTTTTAGTGCCTAGAATGAGACCTGGAGCTTAGGGAATGCTGAATTTGTACTAGCTATTGATGGGCTGGAGTCCTTGGGTTGCTAATTGGTTAAACAATGAGCTACTAATGGAAAACTTTACAGTTTGGATCTAGTCTAGACAGAAGCGTCTTGGGAAAAAAAAACTAGCAATTGGAAACCCCCACAAACCCAATAGATCTGGGTGCAGTTTTCCTCTGCAACACGTGGGGGCACTGTGAGTCAGAATAGACTCGGGGAATCAGGAAGCATGAGAGTCTGAAAGGTCTTTCTGGATGAGGGTCCATTTGGAGTGGGTTTTGAAGCATGAGTAGGAGTTCATCAGGCAGAAACTGATTCAGTGCTGGATTCTCAACACAGAATCAGGGTGATTTTATCACTAATCTGTGTGTCTCAGGAACTTCTCCATTTGGTGGGGAGGTAAAGGGAGACAGCCTTATGGGATCGGGCCAGGGTGAGGGTGTGGAGGAGGAGAGTTGGAAGATGGCCTGGAAGTCACCAGGGTCAAAGACAAGCACTTGCAGTGGGATGGCACGCACCCTTGGTGTGGAAACTCACCTTTATCATCACTTTCCTCAGTACGATGGAGGCGGCGGGTGAACAGCTAGCTGGTGTCCTAGTTTCTGCTGTGAGTCAGGCGTCCCCAGAGGCAGCAGGCGGTGCAGGTAGGGTAGGTGGCCTGGCTAGGCCGGTTCCACCCTGGAGAAGGGGCGGAGCCCCCCAGCCACCCCCGCATCCCCCTACTCTGGGCACCTCCCACACCTGCCTGTTCTGCCTGTGGCAGGTTTGGCTGCCTTCCTCTGCTGGCCCCACCTTGCCGCCTCTGTCGTAAGTGCAGCCATGCTTTCTCCTCTGTTCCCTCTCCACAGCTTTCTCTTTTCTTTTTTGCCAAAAAAGAAACCTTCTGTCATGCTGTGGGCAAAACTTTACACGGCAAATACCTGAATTGATGGTTCTGTGGCATTTGTTCCTGCAATGTGCCAGTATTCTTCCTGTTCCCTTCCTGGGTTTGTTGTTTCCACTCATCCAATATCCCTCTCCCTCTCTATCCTCTCATCTTTGGTTTTAGGCAAATGTTATCCTGTTGGCCTCTTATACTTGCTTGTTCTGAAGTTGTTGTCGTCGTTGTAGGTGCCATCGACTTGCCTGTGACTCATAGTCACCCAGTGAACAACAGATGTGACCCTTACAGGATCCTGCACTATCCTAACCATCGCTGATGGTTAATGTTCAAGCCCATTGTTACCGTCCCTGTGCCAATCCATCTTGTCGAGGGTCTTCCTCTCACGATGTCCCTTTCCAAGGACTGGCCCCTCCTGACAATATGTGCAAAGTACGTGAGACATAGTGTCACTGTCCATACCTCTGGGTAACATTCTGGGTGCACTTCCTCCAAGAACTTGTCTGTTCCCTTGGCAAGCCCATGGGACACTCGGCTCTCTTCGCCAACACCACAGCTCAGAGACAGGGATCCCTCCGCGGGACACCGGTCTAATATGTGGCTAGGAGGTGACCTTTGGGAGTGTCTTGTTTCAAATTAAAAGGTGATTCCAGGATGATAGTTTGGGAGCTCCTCTGACTTCTTTCCTAACCAGTTAGTCTGGCCTTTTTTCATGAGAGGGGATTCTGAATTTTCATTTTTTTGAAAGAAGATTCATTCTAACTGGCGTCTTCTCCTTTGGTCTTGGGCAGAGCTGCTGGGTAGGGTAGCTGGGCACCGTCTCCTCCTTCTGGTCTTGGGTCAGAGTAGCCTGTGGTCTCTGTGTCCTGTGGTTCCCGAGTCCTGTGGTCCTGTGGTGCCCGTGGTCTTTGTGTCCCGTGGCCCCTGTGTTCTGTGATCCTTTTTAAAAAGAGTTATTTTATTATTATTATTAATTTTAATTAATATTTACAGAGACTTTGGATTTCCATTCATTGATTGTTGCACTTTTCTCCCTGCCCAACCTCCCCCACCCTCAGTTTTCTCTTTTCTTTGAAAAGTAAAAGAAAAAGTCTTTCATTGTTATACAATGTGTCCCCCCAAGTCCACTCCACTATGCAGCCTTTGTTCTGGATTCCTGTCAGGACAGTAATACCTAATCACATATACCTTTTAAACAGTTCT